CAGGTTAAGAATTTTTAAGTGCAATTCACTTTAAATGAGTAAGTTGGGTAAGAATTATTGATAAAGTCAACTTTTGCCATGCTTAGGGCATCAATATTTCATGTTTGTTAGAATACTTGGCCCCATTCTAAAATTAACTATTTTACCAAATTTCTTTGTTAGACCAAAGGAAAATATTTTGATAACAATCTTTTTATATTATCTTTTTGTACAATTTTATATGTCATTTAAATGATTATTTTTTTTATTCATTTGAGATTCATAATATTAAATGCATCTATTTATTTAATGACATAAAAATTATATAAAAAAATAATAAAAAAAATTATCCTTATATTATCACCTTAATAGATCTTTATTAAATTATTTTTGATCTTTCTAAAAGTTCGTTTCCTCTTCTATATAAAATTTATATAATATCATGACAAACAGAGTCATTATTTTTGGTAAATAAATTTGTATGACAAACAATATAAAATTTAGAGGACAACAAATATAACCCATAGAAAGAAAGCCTATGCCTTCCCTCATTACATTTCTTAGTTCTTTTATGTTTTTTATAATCTCCTGGCAAGTACTATGAGTCTTGAAAGCCTTCCTGCATCAAAAAAACATTGCAAGCAACATCTTTTATTGGATATATAACTTCAACAACCAAAAGAGTGCGCCATTACAGCTAGTGTTTTAGCGATGGGGTAGGACATGACCATTAGATACGAGAAAGAGATAATCAAAGTAGTTCAAAAAAACAGATTTACGGTATAGACAAAGTTAGGAGAATACTTCACTATGTGAATATCAAAGTACAAACAAACAACTAGAATTTTTTTTCATCGTATCTTCAATAGAAGCTTCCCAACTTCACCAAATCTTATATCAAAACTCATAACCCATATAATTCTACTGCCATCATGATCACAATGATAGATGATTGAAATGTAGCAGCCATCGACCTGTAGTAAGTCTCTATAGCATAATCAAAGTGTAGCAAAGCAAAGTCTAGTTAGCTCCTTGATGCATCAGAGAAGTTTATACTCTACATGACCAATGGTAAAACTGCATTCAAATGATTGAACTCTTCTATTGAGTTGATAACGTAAAGTAATTTGTAAACTAAGCTATCATCTTAAGTACTTCACCTACCTATTATTGAAGATGCTGCCATCCAGAACAAAATCTTGAACCTCAAGCACAAAATTGCTCCCCCTAAGTACATGATATATGAAACCAAAGAAGCACTAATCAGATCGATTGTTTATTTATGATTCTCAAAGCCAAACTGCACAGTACACAACAAAAACATGTCTTGAGGTTTTGCAGTGACATACCTTTAAATATCTGTTTGAAAGAATGTGGTTTATGCTAATTGGAAATGAGGCTGTGATACTTAAGTAAGGGACCGTCTACTGACAACTAAAGTCTGCACGACTGCAGCTGGAGCTGAAGAAATAGAAATTAATATCAAATACTCAGCGGACAAGATAACAAGCAAACAACAATGAACTTTATGATAAACTATGAAAGCCACAAGTGGAGGAAATAACAAAAGCATATTCATTTTAAATGAATTTTAAGTTGAGAATTACTTATACACTAACAGACCTTCATCAAAGTCCATAAGCTACTTTGCATCTGCTATTCTCCTTAACCTACTTCCGAAAGACCTTGTGGCTTAATGAATGAGATACTGAACAGTGAACACCTACAATACACAAAATTAATTCTCAAACAAATAAAATGTATGATAGTACCTAGTTGAAATGACTATATATGCTCAAATGTAAAGCAATAATGCTTAAATAAGACCTTTAAATGATCTAGAAGGCATACTTGATACATTTTTGCTTTGTCAAGTGACTTCCTCATGAGAAGAATATAATCTATTACCACTTAAGGTTCCATGCTTGCACATGAGAAAAGAAATAAATTAATGGAAAAAAAGTACCATATGTATTGATCATGAAAAGTTATAGTGGAAAATATAAGATAGTGAAAGATATTTAAGAACAGAAAATTGATGATAGATAGTCCCCCAAGTATGAAAGTAGAAGCAGTTAATTAGGAGACCTAATGCTCAATGGTATTAATTGTCTTATAAGAACATATTTTGCAATGTAAATGATCAAATGCTAAATTCCAAAAACTAATGTAAAATCTTAATATTCTTCATTAACTTCAAATCAAAGATTCCAAAAAACAGACATGACTGATAAAAAAAAAATGACATGTATTAAAGAAAAGTGACATGAGTTGCAAATATTTATGGAGTGACAATAGATGGCTCAGTTTTGAGAAAATGATGAGTTCTGAAGAATCCAACCTTAAAGTCATGTATGATATAATTCCTTCTTCTGCTTCAATTTACAGAGTGACATTGAGTTTAAGGTTAAGTTCTGCAAAATTGATAAAATGGAGATAGGATGAGAGAGAGTATGATAACTAAAAACACCATCAAATGAAGAATGCAATAGATATGATGTGCTGGTAATTTAAAATAGTTTTAATCTGGAATCATCTCTAAATATGTGAAATCAATAAATCCATGTTTGGATAATTTGATCATTCTCACATAAGCTGGTATAGAAAAGGGAATCGAATAAAAATTGTTGTATGATCAATTGTTGACATCTTTTATGAAACATGAGTTTAACATTTTCAGAAAATAGAAAAAAAGATTACCTAAATGTATTACTCATGTATTGCACTAGAAAAAAATGGAACATCCAGGGATTACCATATAGATTAACAAATTTGATTTCAACTTTTGCTTTGAAGTCTGAATTGATAAAAAGATACAAATGCTTACTGATATGGTGATGGTGGGGATATACTTAGTGATGGATGGGAAGTTTTTTACAGAAGCTGAGGTTTAATAAAATATACCTAAGAATTCAATCTTCTTAGAATTGGATGCACTCGGTCCATTTGGATAATGGAATGTGAGGAACTCTGAGTCAATCCGTATCTCTTGGCATTGGATGGCCTCAGGAGAAGGCAAATATTTCAAATTATGGACAGAAATTGAATATCTAATAGAGACCAAGTTTACAACAACTATGCCAAAGCCTCCAACTTATAAAACTCTCTATAATCAGAGAGTCCATAAGCTAAGCTACATCCGCTCTTCTCTTTATGTACAAAAAGCCATACGGCACAGGGAATGTGATACTAATCTTGAGCACCTACAAGTATTCTTTCTATCAAAATTTTCAAGAAAAATACTTAACTCACTTGCATAGATTATACATGCTTGTAAAGACATAATACTTAATAAAGACATATATGATCTAGAAGGCATACTTGAATACTATTTTGCATTTCAAGAGCTTCCTCCCTTCTCCCTGCTACTTCATGGTGTGAATTAAACACTACCTAAGGTTCTTCAAATGCTCAAATCCAAGGTACATGATAACTCCATAACTGCATAACCAACAAATTGTTCCAGAAAAAATTGAATTAATGAAATAAAATTTATTACATTGTAACTTGTTAATTTCATTTATGAAACATGAATTTACCTTTTTGAGAAAACCCAAAAGAGGATACCTAAAAGAATCCTTCATGCACTGCAAACGGTTGGAACAACCTGGGTTTACCTTATGGATTAACAAACTTAATTACTGGTGCTGCTTAAGAGTTAGAATTCATAAAAGATACAAATGTTTAATGATAGGGTAACGATAGGCTTAGTGATGGGAAGTTTTCAAGGAAGAAAAGGTGTTGAGGTTTAGAAAATATACCTGAGAAGCTCAATATTCTTGGAATTGGATGCACTCGCTCTACTTAAATATTGGAATGCAAGAAACTTCTAATCAGTCAGTACCTCTTGGGATTGCATGGCTCCAGTAGAAGGCAATTATTTCAGATTTTGACTAGAAATCTGGTCATTATTACTTTGATTATTTCCTTATATGATTAATTCAAATAACTGAACACCACATTTCACAAGGTTATAAAGTTAATCAATATTAATCAAAGTTTAGTTTTTGCAATAAAACAGGGAAAATCAAATAATCAGTATAGTAACAGACTACAAAAAACTATCTTTTAAAATAAAAAATTAGAAGCAAGGGAAAAGAATCATATTCATTTCAATTGCTTAAGGAATGAGACAATTTTACTTAATTATATATTCATGAAAGCTAGAAGTTACTCTACATCTGATACTTCCATAAATAGATTGCTTCAAATGATTTAAAACCCTACTCCTACTAGATACTTACACAAACAAGTTGTATGATAAATATTTTGAAGCTAGTTCATCGAACCCAACTCAAAGACCATGCTGCAAGTTCTTAGAACTTATTGGATTGATGAGGATTTCTTAGGCGCCTGTAAACCAGTGACCTATGCATAGACATGTATACGAAGATGCAGACTCATGCATGGACAAACACTTCCAGTGGACTCAACATGTACTTATGTAAATAGCTTGAGAAAACCACCCATTTTCGATTCCTCCAAACCATGGGAATCATTTATTATACATTTCTAATAATGAGAAATCCCTACCCTTGTTTGGTTGAAGGAAATGGAGGGGCCACAATATCCTTCCATTTCCTTCCCTCTTGCTTGCTTCCCCTTTTTTCATTTAGTTGTACTAAAATTATAAAAGAAATTAAAGGTAAATCCTCCTTCTCATTCCCTGCCCTCCAATGTTTGTTATCCAAATAGGGAATTTTATCCCCTCCCCTTAAACAAAACAAGCTTTTAAAAGAATTCTTATATGGAAAAGAGTTGAAAGTAATAAGAAATTACCTTTTAAAGAATTTTCACAAGCATTGTAGGTTAAGAGAATTGAAGCAGCCATAAGTAACCTTTGAATTGCTAAATTTGATTTTTGTTGTTGCTTTTAAGTCTGAATTGATGAAAGAAGCAAAATTAGTGGTGGAATTTATTATAAGGAAGAAGAGAAGTTGAGGATTAAGAAATTTAAATATACCTCAGGAAAAGGGCTCACTCTTCTTGTTTTGGATGCGCGCTTAATTTATTTGGATTTTTGGAATGTGAGAAATTTTGAACCATTCAGGGCCGGTTTCCTTTGCACATCTTCCTTTTAGCTCTGGACATTGAAAAATTTCAAGATGCTGCAACTTGGAGAGGCATTGCATGGCTTGTGCAGAAGGTAGATATTTCAAATTTGTGCAGATGTTAATCTCTAGAGTTTGAAGAGACGACAAGCTTCCCAACCACTCCGGCAAAGCTTCCACTTGATTGAAACAATATATTCTTAGTGTCCTTAGAGAAGTGAGGTGTTGAATTTGAGGTGGTAGATACGTTAGTTTTTCCCACCCATACAACCCTAATTCTTGAAGGGAGGCATGGAGGTGGTGGATGGAATTGAGATTTGGGAATTCCTCCAACTCTTTTGAGAAATCACCAATATGCAATCCCTCCAAGCAGACAAGACAGCTGAAACTCTCCTCGGGAATATTCCTCAAATTTTCACAGTGGATAATAACTAACCAAACCAGAGAATGCAAATCCTTCAAGTCTTCTGAGATGGAGATCAGATTACGGCATCTAACCATGGTCAATTCTTTAAGTGCAGTGCAGGAGGACAGTCCACTTGGTAGACTCATCACTGAATTGCATATTTGAATCTGTAGTTCTTTTAGAGAGGAAAGCCCATTAACACTTGGAATGAGCCTTAGATCTTCACATTCAGTTAGATATAACTCTTCTAGGCATGTGAGGGTCGAAATACTATCCCCAATTGTTTCCAATCTTGGACATGACCAGATGCGTAGTTGTCTGAGGAACGCCGGAAAGGCAAATGCTCCATCTCCGATTCTGGTTAATTCAAGGCAATCTTCAATTTGAAGTTGTTGAAGAGATGATAACCTGCTCATGATTGGAATGCTTTTCAACTTTTTACATCTGAAGATTTTCAAGTCCACCAAATTGTTGAGCGAAAATGATTCACTCAAATTAGGCTCCATCCATGATGGACATTTTTTACCTCCATAATATTCTATAGTTAAGTTTCTCAAATTTGGGGGAGGTTTGAGGCCTGCTAACACATCGTCATCATGATTACATTCTTCTGTATTTCTTTTTGTCCATTCCAGATTCAACTCATAAAGTTCAATCTTTTCCGAAAGTTTTGCTTTCTTGGCTTCTGAGTAGTTTTCAACATGCTCTAGATGACATATCCTTAATTCACCTCTAAGTTGGCTCAAGCATCCCAATTCCTCAATTCGACTTCCCTCTTGTAGACCGACAACAAATAACTGCAACGTTTGAAGATCCTTTAGCCTACCAATTCTGAGTGGCATACAACTTTTTTTACTGAAATAAATGTGTCTCAAGCTGACTAAGTTTTCCACCCCTTCTGGCTGTTTTACAATCCAAGAACAATACATGAACCTCAGTGTCTGCAAACTATACAACTCCATGATAAACTGGGGTAGTTCTTTAATGTTGGTGTTTGAAATGTCTAGATACCTCAAATGCTTCATCTTGCCGATCCAAGTTGGCAACTGCTCAATATTAATTCTCCAAAGGCTACCTTTTTCAAAGCTAAGAATGCGTAACCTTTTGAACCTATCTGGCATCTTGCCCAAAATATCACCTTTAAGAAATAATGAATGTAGTTTTCCAGCCACCTCCACAAAATTTGCTGGCACCATCTCCTCAGCATCAACGAGATTCAAATGCCGAACATGAGCAATATTGCTCTCTGAACCAGCTTTCAAAATAAGTGTTTCTGATTTTGAATTGGAAGTGGCAAGATCATGAATTAAATCATGCATTTTGCATGACTTAATCTTTCCAGTTGAATCTGTTTCTTCCACTAGAAGCAAAGAATATGATAACAAGTCATTGAAATACTTGCTACCAATATCCTCCATCGAACTTCCTTGTGATGGCTGAAGAAAGCCTTCAGCCATCCAAAGTTGAATTAACATCTCCTTTTCAATTTCCAAATCCTTGGGGAAAATGGATAAAAAGGCAAAACATTGCTTCAATGTTGTGTTGGGTAAGCGATCAAAACTCAGTTGTAGAACTCGAACAATCCATGTCCTATTATCATCTTCCAGTGAACTCCTTGCATCAAAATTATTGTTAACTAACTCCCATTCACCTATATCCCTTCGATTGCTCAAACTAGCCCCAATGACATTGGCAACTAAGGGCACACCTCTACATTTTTTAGCAATTTGCCTTCCAATCACTTCTAACTCCAAATTAGGCACTGAAGAACCTCCAAATGCTCTCTGCTTTATTATAGACCAACACTTATCATCTTCTAGTCCTTGAAGATGATACATGTGTTCTCTAAGTGTTCCCATTGTGGATGCTACCTTTCCACTTCGAGTTGTCACAACTACTCTACTCACCTTATTTTTATTTATTTCTAGCAAACAACCCCTTAAGGCTTCCCACTTCAATTTATCCTCATTCCACACATCATCTAAGATGAGTAGATAGTTTTCATTTTTCAGCAAATCTTGTATTTTTTCCACTAGAGTAGCCTGGTTTTCAATTGAACAACCCTCTTTAGTAAGAGACTCTAACATCATTTTTAGGACTCTTTTGACATCAAAATCTTCAGACACACAAATGAACATTATTCTACCAAAATTCCTCACTATTTTCTCATGATTTTGCACTGATTTTACTAAGGTAGTTTTTCCCAGACCCCCCATACCCACTACAGATATGACAGAAAGGGGCTCCTTATTACTTGAGTCAACCAACAAGTCAACTATTTTTGACACATCATCCTCTCTTCCTATGACTCTAGGACAATAGCCAAGAGAGGAGTATGCTGTTTGAGGGTTGCTTCTAGGTTCATGGCTGGCAAGTCTAGACTGAAGTCCAAATTGAGTAGCCTCTTCATTAATCTCAACTATAGAAGCAATAAGATTCTTAATCTTATTAGCCATCTTGAGACGAAATATGAAAGGATTGGAAAATGTAAAAAAGAGACAGACCTTCTTCTTCATTTGCTTCTGAATCTGTACCTCCTGTTTCAGTCTTTCATAAACAACCTCGTCCAAAACATCCTCAGCATCCCGAGCCACGTCTCTGAGCTTCTCAAGCCAAAGCTTCACAGCTGGAACTTCAACTTGCTTGCTTTCTGCTTCTTGCAACACAGCATGGATCATTTTCAACTTGCTGCAAAGCCTTTTGAGCTCTGCCTTCCAACTGACTGCAAGGTGGATTTGTTGAGTAGCGGCTGCAATCACCTTGGATATGGTGGCATCAATAATAGGACCCAAGACAAGGTCAGCCATTTTCACTTCAATAGCTCTGGAGAAACTATGCAAATGCTGGAGAGTCTATAGTGTTATAATGGAATGCAGCGGTAGATAGCAGTGGATAGAAGAAACTCTATATTATATATCCATGCTAAGCTGTAGTCGTTGGAGAGACTTTAAGGTTACATTTCTTTTTCTTTTTTTTAATTAAATAAACTTATTCTTTCTTTGAAAATTTCTATATTACCCTTGTCCTAGATGGTCAATATTCAACAGGTTGTTTAGCCAACTATAAACTAATGATTAAGTGGTTCTCACTGCTGCCTGAAAAACTTGTAGATACAGCATCATTTAATAATATTATGTTGTACAAAACATTATACTTAAAATTATGGTAAAACTCTATATTAAATTAAGTTTTTTTTTATTGAAGTAAATAAACCCTTGAATTTGACAATATAAGTAATTTAACATTTTTCCTTATAACAAACTTAATATCCGTTTATGCCATACTTATGTGAATAAGATTAACACCCACCATGTAAGTAATGATATGTTAATATTTTGCTCATGCGAGGTATAAACAAATATTAAATCCGTTATAAAAAAAAGAAAAAGGGTTAAATTGTGTCAATTATCAAGTTTATGGGTTTTTCTACTTTAATAGAAGTTGAGGAACTTAATCAAGAATCTAAAATAAGTTTGAGGGCATAATATAAGGTTTTGTCTAAAATCATTGTAGGTGTAGGTTCATATGTTTTGAGTTTTGATTGGGTCTTTGTTATTAATTTTTTTTTAACATTTATTCGTCAGACATTCTCCTTCTTACCTCCAAGCTAGGCTTGAGATATTCCATTCAAATCATTTCTTTTTTGTAAGTGAACATAAGGAATCTTATCTTTCTTGGCCAACAACGTAACAGGAATCTTTAAGGATATAAAAATTTCCTAGGAACCATACTAATGCAATAATCTAGATTTAGACACATTAATTTTTTTTTTTTCTAAATCAAGAGGCATCTGGATGGCTGCTTAACCCAAGCGTCCCCTTACTACTTTACTCCAAAGTTGTCGCATATCTTTATTATTTCTTCTATGCATTCCTTTATTCCATTTTTCTTCCCTGAAATGAAAGCAAATAATGATCCTTTATTCCTTACTTTGATGTGATGCTGGGTGGGGGCGCATATGTTCGTTTCTTTATGATTCATTCCAGAATTTTATCGGCATGCTTTAAAATACTCCATTCCTTTCTTCTTCTTTCTTCTTCCTCTTTTTTTTTTTTTTTTTCTTCAGTACTCCAACAATTCCTTGCTTTGAGCCAATTTCTTTGGTTTAGAAGTAGCTTTTCTAAAGGAGTGTGATCCTCATTTAAGCACATATATGTTCCTTTCTTTATGATTCAAAATTATATTAGCATAAAAGTAATCAATGAAGGTGGGGGCGCATATGTTCGTTTCTTTACGATTCATTCCAGAATTTTATTGGCATGCTTTAAAATACTCCATTCCTTTCTTCTTCTTTCTTCTTCCTCTTTTTTTTTTTTTCTTCAGTACTCCAACAATTCCTTGCTTTGAGCCA